TCCTCTGCCTATTCGGGCTGCATGTTACCCGTTTCAGCTGCTCACCCTTATCTGCTCCAGGACAAGGCACAGGACACGTCCGTTTATACCGCCGCCATTTTTTTCCTTATGAGTCAATTCCTTAACATAAATTTCATTGTATATACACACACACATCCTTTCAGTTTTGTTTCTCTGAGGACCCTAATAAAAACACCAATAATAATAACAAACAATTATGTAACTGCTATTGTTATCATTCCCACTCTCTATATGTGGTCACAAAAGCTCAGAGAGGTTATGTAACTTGCTCAGGTTCACTCAGCTTTTAAGTAATATAGTTGAAATATGAACCCACATTTAGTTCTAAGTCTTATGCTCTTATCCAATATTCAATATACTGTCTCTTTGGAGCTGCATTGGAATAGCATTTCTCAAACAGCAGTTGGAATCTTATTAATGGGAAATTAAATCAATTTAGTAGATCATGACCAGCATTGTTAGGAAAGAAGAAAAAACACATGGTAGAATAAAGTAAGAGTCATCAAACTTTTTTATAGAGGGCCATAGAGTAAATATTTTAGAATTTGCTAGCATACTGTCCCCCTGACAGCCACCCAACTCTGCTCTTGAACCACCAAAGCAGCAGGGACAAGCCATAGAGCTATGGTTCTGGCTTACATATATTTTCACCACAGAAAAGACCTGGATACGTTCTGTTGTAATGACTGGGGTGGAATGCTACAGGCATCTAATGAGTAGAGTCTAGGATGAGACTAAACATTCTCCAATACAAAGGACAGTGCCCACAACAAAGTGTCATCCTGTCCATACTGTCTACAGCATTGCTGTGGAAAAACTCCGATGTGAAGATGGCTGTATTCCAATAGGAATTTTGTTATGGACACTGAAATTTGAACTCCAAATTATTTTCATGGGTCATGCAATATCATTCTGCTTTTCAGTTATTTTAACCATTTAAAAATGTAAAAACCATTCTTACAAATGGGTGCTTGGCTGGATTTTAGTAATAAACAGGTATTTCAGGTAGTAAAACTAAGTATATTTTGTGGAACTTTTCTTTCCTGTTATGCACCTGTATGTCTCTACTGATTATCTCTTTGTAATACATATATATATATATATATATATATATATATATATACACACACACACGTGTGTGTGTGTGTGTGTTTTTGTGTGTGTGTGTGTGTGTGTGTGTGTGTGTGTGTGTGTGTGTGTGTGAGAAAAAACTGTACAAAGAACATGACTCATTTTGGCTGAATTCAATCAGGACATAACTGTGAGGACTTCCATGTGGTGTTTTCCGATGATAAGTCCAAGCCTTAAGCAAATGTTCTATGAATGGACATTTTGTCCTGATGGGACTGTCCTGCTGTTGTCCACAAAGCAAGCCACTCACAGACTCAGGGGGATCTATGTTGTAGCTCCAAATTATCCTCAGAATTGCGCATCTCTCTCATTATCTCCAGCCTCTAATAAAGTCCCAATAGAAGTTGCAGCCTGGCCTCAAATATGCTGTGGGTGACTTAAAATAAAGTGGGACTGTTGTCAGGTTTGGGAGAAAATGATGGGATCTTTGAAGAATAGCCACTACTGAGAGGTATAAGAGAAGACTTATAGTAATGGGAATAGGAACCTGTGGGTGAAGCAGCCAATAGCAGCTGAGAAGGCAGGAGAGCAACAGTATAAACTGTTTCTCTCCCCCTGGGTTGCTCAGGGTATACATGGGGAAGAGACACTCATAACACTCTGCATCTTGCATCAACAACTTGAGCTCATCATAATTTAGCATTAAAGGAAAGAGAATGCCAATTGTACCTACTAGTTAATGAAACCAGGGGTTACTTGGGTTTTGTATATACACATTGAAAAACACATCCCTGGATAAAGGTGCCAACACCATCCCACCTTGCATTTTGAATTATTTCCTTAGGACAATCCCCAAGAGAAAGAGTCAGTAATCATGCCTCTGTCATTAAAAGATGTTGACACCAGATCCCAACAATCCCAGCCAGTGTTTTTCTGCTCTCTTTCCCCTCTTCTTTCCATCCCAGCAGAGTGGAAGGGATGGGCAGCAATAATAGAGATTCAGATCTGCCTCTTTTTATCACCACTCTAGAACCTGAGATGGGGGAGGAAGGATGTTTTAATTTGGAAAGTGTTGTGAAGTTGACATCATCATGGACTTGACTTATTTTAAATTTCATGGATGTAATCCAATTTTTTGACTAATATCTTCACAGTCTCAATGTGGCTTCTTCTTTAATTCTTAGTTATAGCAATTCTTTTCAGCTAGACTTACTGATGGTCGTTCTACACTTTATTTGCAATTTTTATGGTAATGGGAAGAGAAGAGCAAAGCATTGACCTGCTCTGCCATCTTGATCTGGTCTGAACTTGACTTTTAATAGTGGGAAATGGAAAGCATTTGTTTCTTACTTCCAAGTGAAAGAAAAAACTATTAGATCTATCTGTGATGTGAGTGAGTGATCAGGAGGTTTGAGATGACACATCAGCCAGCATTTTGAAAGGGCAATGATAAAAAAATAATGAAAATTCCTCCTACTTAAACCCTGTGAACTTCAGCTCCTTCAAGCAACTGGTTACAAATCCTCAGTAAATTAGACACTGTTATTGTTAGTTTATAGTTGGGATTAAAAGACAACCCTAAAAATCACAAAATTACAGTGATGGGTCTAGGATTAGAATTCAAGTGGCTATACCATGCTGCCTCCACTCTCCCTCCCATTGTTGCATCTAAGATCCTGCAAATGAACCTGTATGGAGGAATCTGTCACACTTAGGATAAAATCCTGGTTCCAAAGTGTTGTTATTTTCAATTAATAGTTTTTATTAGGAATCAGAAAATATACATTTATGAAGTATATTAAGTGATTCCATCTTCATCTTCTAATTTAATCTTCACAGTAGTCCTATGATACAGTGGATACTATCATTACTTCCATTTATCTCATATGGACTTGACTGATACACCCAAAGGGTAATAAACAGAAGTACCTCTTAGATATGCTATCCTGTCAACTCTTTGCATACAGGAATGCTGTTCATTTTCTTCACTGTTGTTTACAACACCAAGCTCAGTGCCTGGCACACAGAACATATTTGATAATTATTTGTTGAATATATAAATGTATGAGGTCTTCCAATTCTAAATTTTGTTTCTTTTTGTTATATCATTTTGCATTTCTTTCTTTTTTATTGATTTCATAGAGAAAGGGAGAGGGAGAGAGAGAGATAGAAACATCAGTGATGAGACAGAATCATTGATCGGTTGCCTCCTGCATGCCCCACACTGGGGATTGAACCCACAACCCACGGATGTGTCCTGAACATGAATTGAACCATGACCTCCTGGTTCATAGGTAGATGCTCAACCTCTGAGCCATGCCAGCTGGGATCATTTTGCTTTTCTGATATTTCCAATAACTATTCTGGAATAAATTTTATTCCATCTAGGAAACCCACTCTAAAACAAGGTTCCTGAAGTTTAAATGGACCTTCCATAAATATATTGATGGCAAGTCATATTTTGGGCTTTACAGTACATAAGATGATAAAACATTTCCCCTCCCACGACCACCCCAAGCTTCAATGATGAGCCAGTCATTTGGTTAGGATAAACTGGTCTTTAAGGCCCCTATAGGTAGAAAGCATGCTATGATTGTGTGAGTACTCACTGATTGATGTCAATTTTCAGAGATTGTGCCTTATATGAAAACCAATAGAAAATAGCTCACAATACTTTGTATATAGAAAGTGCTCAAAGATTTAGAAAAATTATTTCTGAATCTAAATAGTGATAGGCTGTGACTTTTAGAGAAAGCTTCTTAATCAGGTTTGCTAAACTTATTTTGTGGGAAAAGGCAGACCTAAGAGTTCCTTAAAATTCTGAGAAAATTTCTATAACAATTTAGCTATGACATTATAATGTCATCTAGAAAAGCTGACCTGTTTCCTCAGTGAAACTATCCCTTTTTCATGTCTTTATGTCAACATCAAGAGATAAGGATAAATCCAGAAAGATAATATAAATTAGGTAGCATTCCTGGGTCTCTAAGAGGAGCTCAGATCAAGGCTGCCTATCACACACATTGCCCAGGAGTCATAACCATCAAGTTGAGTGGCATGTATATACTGCCTGTGATGCTACAAATCTACTGGCCTTACTAGGAACAGGGCGATCTGGATAAAGAGTCTAAATACAACCATATTTTTCTGTACTGACTGAGTAATGAACTTATTTATTAACAGTGTTTAGAAGGCACTATCACACACACAACCAAGCCCCATATAGAGAAGTTTAGGTAATCCTCTGAGCATCTACCAGAAAAGTTGAATTCTAAGAAAAGATAAGGTTTACCTTTTCTATAAGAAGCTTTTTCAGGTATAAACTGCATTAGAATGAGCACAAGTCTCTTCATTACTTAAAGAGGCTGTGTGGACCACCCCATCTGTCAGAATGGAACACAGATTGGTTTTCAGTCCCTGAGATGTATATAGTTCTTTGTCCTAAGGTCACCCCTAAAACTGGTGTTTACAGCCAAGGATTTTATTCCACTGATGAGGTTAAACATGAGATCTCATTTCTTTTCTTCTTTTTTCTTCAGATTCCTATTGAAGGAAGCTAGATGTGAGTGTAAAACCTAAAGTACTGCATTTTAAAATTCCAGTTACCATGGAGTCAGCAGGAAGAGAAAACATTAGCAGAATGATAAAAAAAATTAATAACTGAAATTAAATAAAGCTTTTTGGGAAATAATCAGACTGAGAAGCAAAATTAAATGGACTGTGAGTTTGAACTATAATATTGGAATATTGCATAGAAAAGATCACATATAGGACTTAATGAATCTACACTAATTGACTAAATGAATGAATGATTGGAGAGATGAACAAAGAAACACTTGCAAGTGGCTATAATCTTGGATATCCACACAATTAGTCTGTCCATTTAGAATCCTCCCCTAATTGCCTTTCTAGATAAGATTTTGGGCCCAACAAGTCTTCCTCTTAGCGACAGTCCTGTGGATGGCATCTTTGACCTCCTTGTTCCTCAAGCTATAGATAAGTGGGTTTAACATGGGGATCACTGCTGTGTAAAACACGGACACCACTTTATTGAGACCCAAGGAGAAACTTGCACTAGGTCGTACATAGATAAAGAAAAGAGTACCATACAGGATGGAGACGGCTGTCAGGTGAGAAGAGCAGGTGGAAAAGGCTTTGCTCCTCCCATCGGCAGAGTGGATCTTCAGGATGGCAGTGAGGATGTAAATGTAGGAGACCACGATAGTCAGACCACTGAAGACTCCCACAGCTCCAGCCACGATGAAAACTACCAACTTAGTGAGCTCAGTATCCGCACATGCAAGGGAAAGCAGGGGGGACACATCACAGAAGAAATGATTGATGATATTGGGACCACAAAATGGGAGACGAAATGTGTTTGTTGTATGAGTCATGGTGTTCATAAACCCGATGACATAGGGACCAACCACCAGCTGGATACAGAGTCTCTGAGACATGGCAACTGAGTACAATAGTGGGTTGCAGATGGCTAAATAGCGGTCATAGGCCATGGACGCCAAGAGAAGACACTCTGCTGCCACAAAGAACCCAAAGAACCACTGCTGCAAAGCACACCCCAAGAAAGAGATGACTTTCTTCTTCACAAAGAAGTCAGTGAGCATCTTAGGGCTCACGACTGAGGAGAAGCAGATGTCCACAAAGGACAAGTGGCTGAGGAAAAAGTACATAGGTGTGTGAAGGCGGTTATCGATCCGTATCAGAATAATCATACCCAAGTTTCCTGTTAGGTTGATGATGTAGAAACTCAGAAAGAGCAGGAAGAGAAAGACCTGCAATTGGGGGTTGTAATTCAAACCTGTAAAAATGAACTCGGTGATCCTTGTGTAGTTTTCATTGGCCATTGAATGGTTGTGGTTAGAAGAGCAGAGAAGTCACAGCAGATTTGGTAAACCTGTCTTCAAAAATAAGACCCAGAAACTGAAAGAGTGTTAGGAGTAACATGAGTTAGTTACATGCTGCTGCTGGGGATGCAAAATGAAATATAGACCAGAGCCAAAGGTCAGCCCTGCAGCTATAGTATTTAAGACTCTGTAGAAGTCATCAATACAATGGAGAAAAAATAAAAGCTTATAAATAAGAGCAGCTTGTTCAAGATCCTCTCAGTTGACAAACTGAGCCTAGATGGTTTCTGAATAGATATCTATTAATGCCCACTTTAGTGAACATCAACGAATTTACCATATGGCCACACACCTGGTGAACTGATACAGGAGAGTGGAAGTGAGGCAAACTGGAGAAGGAATGAGCAGCCACTCATATTTAGGCCATTTTCTTTGCATTTTGTTATTTTAACCTAAGTTTAAATGCATTTTATCCAACTGCTCTGGCATCCACTTCCTTTCATCCCAGGAGAGTTATTTTTCTTCGGTGAAGCAAGAATAATAATAGTAAACCAACCTTGTAAATGGTTGTGAGGATTAAATGAGACAACACATCCAAAGCAGTTAACAGTTTTACTGAGCATCTAAAGAAGTGCACAATAATTGTTAGTATTTTTACCTTACATACTCTTTTTAATAAATCTGCAAGCTAAATGTCATTATCTCATCTTATATAAGAGGAAAATTGAAGCTCAATCCACATTCATAATGCTAGTGACTGGCAGAGCTGGGCTTTGAAATGCCTGTCAAAATGGTCTGTGCTCTTCCCTTTCTCACACTAAAATGTTTATGTCTTTACAATTCCTTTCATTTAAAAAGTATCCAAAACTCATTCCAATATGAATACAGGATAAGACATCCTGGTTTCCTATTTCTGGTGTTGAGTTTCCAGCCAGTGGCCATGAGATCATAGAAAGTGCTGAATTTAGCTATCACCTTTAAGGCAACAGTACAGGGAAGAAATTTGGAAAAGAGCCTACATTCTCCCATTTCTGTATCTCCCTAGATTCTTATGTCACCTACTATAAGGGTAACCTTGAATAAGTCAGCTAATCTCTTGAATGCTTCATTCATTCAACGTAGTTAAAACTATTATTGTTTTTGATCGCTGAAAATCCTCACCCACATAGAATAAGAGAATAAATGTACATGTGCTCATAAAGCTACTTATACTTTACTTTTTAAAAAATATATGATCCCAGGAACATCAGAGTTCAACATTAGACTTATACTAGACACTTTTCCTTCAGTTTTCCAGTTTGAAATTTATTATTTAACCAGCAACACCTCCTCTGAAGCCAAAAAATACAGTTTACATTATATCGTTGGCATTGGGGGAATTAAAGAGAAAGATGAAATGGCCAGTCAAACTGTTTACTCATCACATTCACCTCTTGCTTCAACCTCTTCAAGAGTCTATTAGCTCCTCCAGGATCAGTCATGCTCTATATCTCAGTCTTCCACTTGACAGTTGCCTGAAGCTCCTCAACTCTTTTCTATCAAGCTTGCTTTCTACACCTGCCCAAGCCTTCTACCCCGCTATGCAAATTTTAGTTTCTCTTTTTTTATTTGGTGCTTAGAATAGAAGACAGTTCTCCATACAGGTCAAACCACAGAGTTGGGGACACAATTGACTCTCATGTTCAGAGCACTGGGATAATATCAACACATCCTATGTTAGTCTTCCTTTAGCAAAGAAATTACCCTTTTGTTTTAGACAGGGATGGAGTAAATTCAGACCTATATTTTCCCCTTACCCTGTTGCTAAAATATATGTCTAATTTCATACTTAGTTTGATCTGGTTTCAGAACTTAAATTTTTCTCTACATAAATGCTCTCATCTTAGGTCTTGCTCAACATCTAACAAAGATGAGGATCATGCTGATCCTGGCCATGAACCAAATATGTAATTTATTTTTAAATTTACTTAAAATAATTTATGCTCTTTTGAACTTGTTAAAAAATCAAGTAGAATGAAGAAAAGAAGATGATTTAGAAGATCTCAACTTACATTCTAATAGGTTCCCTCCCTCTTCTTTCAAGATGACAAGCAGAACTAAAGTAAAAATGAGCCAATTTTCTCAGGTTTCATCCCTTCCCTTAATATGGGAAGGGGCAGAATTTTCAATGCTCATTTGATTTTATTCTTTCTCTTCTTCCAAAAAGAAAATATGGATGACTTCACTATAAAATACATTTAGCCTTCATTGGTTAGCTAAAAGTTCCTTGAAAAGTTGCATCATTTCTTTCTGTCTTATTGTTATTGAAAATGCTCTGTTCCCAAAGCATGCCATATCTTGGGAATGAGGCCACTAAGGGAAAATGCAATTAAAGTTTTGCTTCATATCCTAAGTAAGTCCAATGAGATCTGTTTTCTGATCATTTAAAGTTTGTTTCTAACTAAATATAACTCTACTACCTCTAGTTATGGGTTAAGCAAGGAAACTCTATGGAATCCTTTGCAAGTTAAAGCACAGAGAGGGTCGTACCCCTCTCTCTTCTGCATTAATGTCTTGGAAACAAGTGCTAAGAATGAAGAAAATGGACTTTCCTCAGATGTACCACTTACTACATGTTGCCAAAGAAATAATTTTTCAAGTTTTTGTCCAAAATATGTAAAGAGTTTAACTATTGTAAGCTAGAACTGGAAAAGAAAAACTTCTGATAATGTATTAATTTGTTCTTAGAATTTAGCTATTACATCTGAACTGTTAGCCTATGGAAAAAGAAAATACATTTTTTATTTCCAAGAAATATGCTTCACCTCTGAGTCAAAACAGAGTCAATATGGAAATTTGAATTTTGGTTCTAACCTGGGTAAGAAAAAAACAAACAAATACAAGTCTTTCAGCATGAAATACAATTCCTTACTCTAAAGGTCTTGTTGGTTCGTTTTGTTTTCTTTTTAATTTCTTAACATGTTGATGTAATCTTTTTTATTAAATTAATTGGGGTGGTATTGGTTAATAATATTATATAGATTTCAAGTGTACAATTCTATGATACATCATCTGTATATTGGATGGTGTGCTCACCATCCAAAATCAAAGTGCCTTCCGTCACCATATATTTGATCCCCTTTTACTACTACTCCCCACCCTTTTCCCTCTGATAACCACCAGACTATTGTCTACATCTGTGAGTTTTTGTTTTTCGTATTAGTTCATTTGTTGCTTTCAGTTTTATATCCCACGTATGAGTGAAATCATATGGTTCTTAACTTTTTCTGTCTGACTTATTTTGCTTAGCATGGGATTCTCAAGATCTATCCATGTTGTCACAAATGACAATATTTTATCTTTTCTTATGGTTGAGTAGTATTCCATTGTATATATATGTACCAAATCTTCTTTATCCAATTATCTATCAAAGGGCACTTTGGTTGTTTCCATGTCTTAGCCACTGAGAGCCTAAAAATAAGCCCGCATGTATGTATATGGACAAATAATTTTCAACAAAGGAGACAAAAACAATGGAGAAAAGAAAGCCTCTTCAATAAATGGTGCTGGGAAAAATGGAAAGCCACATGCAAAAGAATGAAGCTAGACTACTATTAGTTTCCAAATACAAAAATTAACTCAAAATGGATCAAAGAATTAAATATAATACCTGAAACAATAAATTACATAAAAGAAAACATAGGTACTACACTTATGGACCTTGGTCTAGAGGGGATTTTATGAATTTGACCCCAAAGGTAAAGAAAATAAATGCAAAAATAAATAAATGGGGCTATATCAAATCAAAAAGCTTCTGCACAGCAAAAGAAACCACCAACAATACAAAAAGGCAACAAACTAAATTGGAGAAAATTATTTGCAAACAATAGCTCTGACAAATATACATAAAGAACTCATACAACTTAACACCAAAGAAACAAACTGTCCAATGAAAAATGGGCAGGGTGTCCTGACTGGTTTGACTCAGTGGATAGAGCATTGGCCTGCGGACTGAAGGGCCCCAGGTTCGATTCTGGTCAAGGGCATGTACCTTGGTTGCAGGCACATCCCCAGTAGGGGGTGTGCAAGATGCAGCTGATCGATGTTTCTCTCTCATTGATGTTTCTATCTCTCTATCCCACAACCTTCCTCTCTGTAAAAAAATCAATAAAATATATTTTTTTAAAAAAGAAAGAAAAATGGGCAGGGTGTCCAGGCCTGTGTTTCTCAGTAGTTAAACATCGGCCCAAGGATGGAAGGATTGCAGGTTTAATTCCCCATCAATGACATATACCTTGGTTGCAGGTTCCATCCCTGGCTCTAGTCAGGGTGTGTGCAAGAGGCAACCAATCAATGTGACTCTCTCACATCTACATTTCTCTCACTCTCTCTAACTCTCCACCTCCCTCCCTCCATTTCACTCTCTCTAAAAATCAGTGGAAAAAAATATCCTTGGGTGAGGATGAGCAAAAGAAATGGAGGCAAAGGATGTGAATAGACATTTCTTGCAAGAAGACACACAAATGGCCAACAGGTATATAAGATGTTCAACTTCACTAGCTATTAAGGAAATGCTCATTAAAACTTCGATGAGATACCACCTGTCAGAATGGCTATTATCAACTAGACAAGTAGTAATAACAAGTGTAAGAAAGGTTGTGGAGAAACCTCTCATTCAGTCCTGGTATGAAAGTAAATTGGTACAACCACTATGGAGAACAGTATGGAGGTTCATTAAAAAAAATCCTATTTTGGGTTTCTACCTGAAAATTTGGAAACATTTATTCACAAAGATATATGCTGTATTAATTTAAAGCAATTTTTTCTATAAAAGCTTAAGTTTCTATAACTTTCTGTTGATTCAATATGAAAGAACCTTTTATTGAGGTATAATGGACATATAACATTATATTAGTTTCAGGTGTACAACATAATTATTCCATATTTGTATATATAGCAAAATGATTACCACTATAAGTCTGATTAACATCTATCCTTATGTATAATTAAAAAATATTTTTTCTTGTGATAAGGACTTTTAAGATTTACTCAGCCACTTTAAAATATGTAATACAATATTATTAACTGTAGTCATTTATTTCACCCCTGAAAACTCTTTAGATGCTGTACTTTAGTTATTTATTCCTTATTATTAATATTGTTAAGAAGACTGGGAGTTTTTTTATTTTTCCCATATTTTGGTAGCGAGTTATGATTACCTTCACACTTAAAGATCATTTTATTAACCTTACAATTGAAAAATTTCCTGTAGGGTCTGTGGAATTCTTTTTATCTATTTTTGTCTAAAACACAGTGAAAGTTTTAAATCTAGACATTTGAGGTTTTGTTGCTGTAAAAATATTTTATAGCTTTGATCATTTCTCTGTTTCGATTGCTCTGACTTATCCCAAAAGGGAGTAAGGAAAGAAATGAACATGTGGTTTAGTGAATATAGCTGTTCAAAATGTGCATTCAATTTAATTAAGTAATCCCTCTTGGATGGGGAGGAGAGGGCACTCAGTTCTCTCTGGATTCTGCAGTAGTCCATATTAGTCACCCTTATACATAAAGTCAGGTGCTGATGCAGGGGAGGAACTCAGGCATCTAAAGTATCAGGCATGGTTTAACTAGAACCTGGAGAGTATTATGCCAAGCAAAATAAGCCAGTCAGAGAAAGACAAGTATCACATGATCTCACTTATATGTGGAATCTAATGAACAAAATAAACTGATGAACAAAATAGATACATAGAAGCATGAAACAAACTGATGAATCTCAGAGAGAAGGTGGGAGAGGAAGAGGGGAGAGATTAACCAACGAATTTATATGCATATATGAATAACCCATGGACACAGACAATAGTGGCCTGACGACCTGGGAGGGGAGCATGCAAGTGGGGTGGAGGGGATCAATGTGGGGGAAAAAGGGAGACACCTATAACACTTTAAACAATAAAGACACATTTTTAAAAATGAAAAATATAGAAATTGTAATAATTTTATTTATTATTAAAGTAGCAAAGAACACTAGGAAACATATTTACAGCTAATGTTACAGAGCCTTTTTATTTATTATCATTATGAAAGTCTTTTTATTTATTATCATTATGATAATAGAAGTACTTATAAGAATGTTGGATGGAGTAAAGATCTCTGAGCTATGTATTTCTAGAACAGGTGTACAATAATAAATTCTGTTACATATCACAGAAAAATCATTCCTTGCCCTTTATACATTAGTTTTACAATTTGAAAGGTAAGAATGTTAGATTATATCAGAAACTTTAAATTTTTATGTGCCATGCACTTTAAAAATCCTGATGAAAGAAGCAGTTCTTTCCTATGGCATGAATATATGTAAATGAGTGGCCCAAGCACACAAAACTTGTGTATGATTTTTCCCTCAAAAATTAATAATTAGACTTTGAAAGCTATTTTTTAAGCCTCCTGTCTTAATAATGCTTTCAATTATTAAAGAAAATGTTCATTGTGATTGAGAAGCTGATGCTGCTATCTAGTGGCAAAGTGTAAAAACATTTTTAAGAAAGAACTATTAGTGTTTTTTCACTAGGATTGCTGCCTAGCCTTTATTTGAACATTCTGTATTTGCTGAGACCATATTAACAGGTGATGACTAAAGAGTAAAATGAGGAGAAAATATGTTTCATGAAGAATGTGAAAGTGTATGTCACAGGTACTGAAAGCACATTCTGTAAAACATAGTTTGGCCCTCATGTTCTTAAATAACACTAAATATTTAAAACTAAATTTTTTATAAAGCAGGAATATGTTTTAATCCTCACCTGAGGACATGTTTTTATTGATTTTATTTTAGTTTTTTTAGAGAAAGAGGAAAGGAGAGGGAGAGAGAAAGTGAGACAAAGAAATACCTATGCTAGAGAGAAACATGGATCAGTGGCTTCCCCTACACACCCTGACCAGGGATCAAACCCACCACTTGGGTATGTGCCCTGGCCAGGAATCAAACTTGCAACCTTTTGGTGCATGGAACAATTCTCCAACCTACTGAGCTGCACTGGCCAGGGCAAAACTAAATTTTTAAGAATTGAGGATATATGGTCATTTTGAAGGAATCTTTATTAACACAAATTGAAGAAACAGTGTTAACCTTAAAAATGAATGATTAGCATCTTGAACCCAAGTCATTACCCAACACAGACACCAAACTGGCAAAAGGCATGGTGAAATAAACAAAACAGACCAGAAAAGGTTTAGAGCATTAGAGATTATTTACAACCTTCAAAGTCAGTGAACTAATATGAAATGTCCTTTAAGGAAGAACTTCAAAGAAAGAGAAGATAGAGTGTAGATCTCAGAGAGTTTTACAATTGTAAAGAAATAAGCCCCATATCCTCTTTTCCTAGATTTGTTGCTATGTTCAAGGGGAAATAAAAGCACAGAAGTATGGTTGAAAGAATATTGTGCCTGGGAAAATTAAACTGTGAGACAAATTATGAGGTCCTGGACAACCCATTGATTCTTTGTGACTGTTCAGCTCATCTTTTATGAAAAAGGAATTAATGCCCTGCCTATGACACAAAATTAATAAATAATAATAGTAATGACTAGCTTTTTATTAAAGATCTATAATCCATTCTTCACTTAACATGCACTACCCGTGTAATTGCAGTGGCAAAATACCAATTAGTTATTACTATGATCAGAGAGTATCCTATCTAATAAAAGAGAAACATGGTAATTGGCATACGACCTCTACCCTTCCCATTGGCTAATCAGCGAGATATGCAAATTAACTGCCAGCCAAGATGGTGGCCGGCAGCCAGGCAGCTTGAAACTAACATGAGGCTTGCTTGCTTCAGTGACGGAGGAAACCAACATTCCCCGCCTGCCTTGCTGGCCACTGAGCCTGAAGGACCCCCTTTCCCCCCCAAGTGCACAAATTTTTGTGCACCGGGCCTCTAGTCTATATATATAAAAGCCTAAGTGATTTTATGACTGGTCAACCAAACAACTAGTCACTATGACACATACTGACCACACAGGAGCTGCTCTCTGGTGGTCAGTGTGCTCCCACAGCGGGAGCGCCACTCAGCTGACCGGGATGAGTGAGCCGGGGTGAGTGGGCCAGGATGAATGGAGGAGCTCCTCCCCGGATCCCCACAGGCCACGCAAAGGAACCCCCTGGGTGCACGAATCTAGTAGGGGGATATAAAAAAAGGCCTTCGTAAAATATCTACTCCAAACACAGAGGCAGTATTAGAGAATGCAATTATTACATACTTCCTGAATAATTCACTGTTTTTCATTATTATTGACATATAATTGACATGTAGCATTGTGTTAATCCATGGCATACAACATAATGATTTTATATATGTATAGAGTATGAAATGATTACCAAAATACGTGTAATTAATATCCATTACCTCACATAGTTACAATTTTTTCTTGTGATGAGAAATGTTAAGATCTAATCTCTTAGCAACTTATGAATATGCAATACAGTATTGTCAAATATAGTCACTATGCTGTACATTACATCCCCAGAGCTTATATATCATGTAATTGGAAGTTTTTTACCTTTTGGCATAATACACTTTTTAAGTTTATGTTTAAAAGTCAAGGTCAAGTTTACAAACAATTGATGGATCTCAACAACTTGTAAAGCAAAACGGAAGTATTATTAAGTCACTGGTTATGACTACAGCATGTAGAATTTAACAAAGAACTTCTCATTTCCTACTCACAAAACTTGAGAATATTTTTAAATTTTTGGAGTTCAATAAAAGCTCAATTTAAAGCTCTCCTATTTATTCTTGCTGAATGAGAAAATCAAACTGAAAAAAAAAATGTAACCTAAAGACACTAGATGACTTGTCAATTACACAGAATAATACAGAGTGATTCTCAACACAAAAGTAGGATTCCCAACACCCAGACCATGTTCTTGCATATTGCATGTAGATTAGCTGTCGATCTGTAGTACAAATGGTATTCTAGTTTATCTGCTCATCAGGAATTTCTTCCTTTCAAACATCTTTCTTAATGAATCCTTGACTTCCTTGTTTCTCAGGCTGTAGATAAGTGGATTTAACATGGGAATCATAGCTGTATAAAACACAGACACTACTTTATTGATGTTCAGGGATAAGCCAGAGCTCGGACATACATAGATAAAGAAGAGTGTCCCATAAAGGATAGAGACAGCTGTCAGGTGAGAAGAGCAGGTGGAGAAGGCTTTGTACCTCCCATCAGCAGAGCGGATCTTCAGGATAGTGAAGATGATGTAAATGTAGGAGACCAAGATGATCAAGCCACTGAGTACTCCTAGGGCTCCAGCCAAGATGAAAAGCAAAAATTTATTGACCTGGGTATCTGCACATGCCAGAGAAAGAACTGGGAGGAGATCACAGAAAAAGTGATTGATGATTTTTGGACCACAATAAGGTAGGCGAAAGGCAAATGTCGTATGGGTCATGGCACTTATAAGACCTATGGTATATGGCCCTACCACCAGCTGCACACAAACCTGCTGGGACATAAAGAGTGTATACAACAAGGGTTTACAAATAGCTATATATCGATCATATGCCATGGAAGCCAGGAGGAAACACTCAGTCACTACAAACTGACAAAAAAACCATAACTGGGCTGCACAACCAAAGAAAGAGATTACTTTTGTCTCGGCAAAGATGTCAGTCAACATTTTGGGACTTATGACAGAAGAGGAACACACATCCACAAAGGATAAGTGGCTAAGAAAAAAGTACATAGGGGTGTGGAGTCGGGAATCTATCCAAATGAGGGTGATCATCCCCAAGTTTCCCAGAAAAGTGACAAGATAAACCAAGAGAAATATCACAAAGAGTACAACCTGGTGCTGGAAATGATTCGTTAAGCCCATGAAAAAAAACTCGATCACCAAAGTTTGATTTCCGTCATCCATTTCTCTGACTTAATCTGGAATAAGAAAGAGAATATTTTTTTCTTTGCAATCATTTGGTAATTAAGGGCTTCTCATTTTTAAATCAGAATTTAACTTTTATTTTTCTACATTTCATAGGTTAGATTGACAAATAACACTCATGTTCTCCCCTAGTGGTTGTCATACCTCCCAATTATCTGTGCGATACTGAGTCACTGAATCTCACTGGGTCCCTCAGTTTCCTTCTTGATCAAAGCAGGATTTTGGAGAATTATAAAATTTTAGATGTAGAAGTGATCTCTGGAGATTATCTAAGGTAAATCCTCTAAATATATGAGGTTACATTTCTAAAAATCCCTGCATTGAACCAAGGTTATCTTAAAAACATTTCATAGAAAAAAGTATTGTGTGAATTTAATTAATTCAGACTAATACTCTCACTCTAGATAAAAGGTGTTAGGAATATAACTTCCTCATCAATTCGTTTAGATTCTAGAAAAAAATGATTAGTTGTGTTGTCAAAAACATAATTCTGGTGTCTAAAAATGGAACAGAAAAGAAATTGACTTTGGAAAATGATAAAAATTTTCAACAGCATCTCCCTGTGATGCTTTCTATTATACACACACACACACACACACACACACACACACACACACACACATATATATATATATATATATATATATATATATATATATATATATATATATATATTAGAGCTGGAAAACAGGTTAGTTGTTGCCTGGGATTAGGAATGGTGGGAAAGAGGGTAGTGGTGTGACTATAACAGGGTAGCACAAGGGAGATCTCTGTGGAGATGAAATTGTATCCTGAATGTGGTGGTGATAATACAACTCTACACACATAATAAAATTATATAGAGCTATACACAGACATCATATTGATGTCAATTTCCTATTTTTCATGCTGTACATTTGTTGGGAAGATGTAACAATTGGGGGAAACTGGGTGAAGAGTACAAGGGACCCGGAAATTTGTATTTATTAAAAATAAAAAAAAAAATTGTGAGAAAGAATAGATGAGATGTAAGAAAAGAGAAACTGACAGTAGTACAAAAAAGGAAAATTGAGGAAGGGAGGCATACATTTCGGACCTTGAAATAACCATAACGATTCCAACAGCATAATCACACAAAATATTAGCAGGGTGTTCAGCAGCAGAACTATTGACAGAAGTCTAACAATATTCTCTTCTAAGAAAGCTGGAAAGAACTTTGGTTACCCAAAAAATTAATTAAATGAAAATGGGATGACCTCCTGAGGTTTCAGGCGATGGAGCTTAGAAAGAAACCGCTTCAATGGGTAAAGTGTAAGATTTGTCAGAAACTATACTTTAATAGTAAAATGTTTCAAGAATTCAAAATTTTCTAAACATAGAAACTCATTCCAGGTCCTTTATATTTTATTCATGATGACTCAGGGAAGATGGAAGCAAAGCACTTTGAGTGTCACAATAAATTTAGGTGTAAAAAATTATGAGGATGAAACTGGAGTATACCCATCCATGGACTCGACCAACGCAAACTATTGTGTGAAACCAATCATTTCTGAATGTCAACATGTATACTGTTTTATTTTTCCTAATCTCACCCAATCCAAAGAGTCTAATATAAAAAAAAATCATGATTCTAGGTATGCATGTGACTCTGGGTGTGAGCAGCAGAGAATTCAAGCCAACTGATTGATAGGTTTATTTCCTACTTATAATACCCAATCTACGTGAAAAAATTAAGACCCAGAGAAGTCAAAGTTTTTTAACAATAACATTCAATGAGCCCATAAATCTTGCAGCACATTTCAGTACGTTTATGCCAAAGGCAAAATTCAACCAAAATATACATTCAAGTTAAGTCATTTAAACCAAATGACACAGACTAAATATTCTATTTATACCAACATTTCATTCTTGGTAGGCTCAGAGATTATGTTTTCTTGGGCTTCTAAATTTACTTTTCATATCTAGCCTCTTGAAGACAATTTAGGAAATCGCTTAACCTTCCTGTCTGAAGAAACATGCCCTGGACTTTGCCTGCTTATGTCTAAGTGAATGACAAAATTAACATTTTATGATATGAAAATGAATTACCCTGCAAATGTAGACTTGTCATTCTTCTCAGTTTCTTCAAGTGTCTAGGAAGATAAACAATAGAATAATACCATCTTGAAACCTGGGCCTTCCAACAGCACTTTAAAAAAGTGTTCATTGACTCCATTCTGCACAACACATACCAGTTTTTCTAAAGGGCTGTTTGTGAATTGGAGCTAAGTCCCTCAAGGAGCCATAAGCTCAGGAGATCAGTCTTAGAGAGAAGATCTTAAAGTATTTAATGAGAAAATAATTTGGGGACTTTGAGTCAAGTGTAATTGCACAAAACAAAACTGTATCTTCCTTTGAGACCACCACGCGCACACACACACTTTGAAATTCCAGTGTTGAGCCTTTAGCTGCTGCATAATGAGCAGTGTGTAGATTTGAGAATTTAAAACAGAGCCCTGCAGCCCAGCCAGGTGTGACTCAGCAGTTGGGCATCAACCCAGGAACCGAGTCGCTGGTTCGATTCCCAGTCAGGGCACATGCCCTGGTTGTGGGCTTGATCCCCAGTGGGGATGTGCAGGAGGCAGCCAATCAATGATTCCCTCTCATCATTGATGTTTCCATCTCTCTCTCCCTCTCCCTTCCTCTCTGAAATCAATAAAAATATATTTTTTAAAAATAAAATAAAATAGAGCCTGCTTCAGAGAAAGTACAGTCAGAAGGTGACTCTGGGTACACAAAAGCACTAAAGACCCTCTGATTGGCTCATGAGCTACTGGGAAGGTCAGATCATTATAACCAGGGGGTTTGGAAATAGGGTCTGAGACAAGATGAGTCTCAAATGGAAGCTAAGATAAAGTTAAATAAAAATAAGGTGGACTAGAAAAATAAAGCTGTCTATGAAGCAATGGAGAGCTCTAAATTCGGACAGATTCTGTGAGAGACAAAATAATCCACTTTGGCTGCATGCAAATTTCAAATGTGAAAGGGGAAAAATAATTTGGGCTCAAATTTAATAAATATTTTAATATTATACAAAGAAGTTTGATTTATTTCTGTAAACAAAAATGACTCAAAGTATTTCAGAAAGCAGATAACATCTATTCATAAGAATGTTGCTACAGGACATTAGTCTTACCACTGGAGATGTTTATTTTTCAAGGTGTTATGAGAGCATTAACTCATTTGAAATCTCATAAGAGCCCAATAAGTGGATTAATAAAAAAGAACCAGATTCTCCAACCTCTTTTTTTTTTTAATATATTTTATTGATTTTTTACAGAGAGAAGGGAGAGAGATAGAGAGTTAGAAACATCGATGAGAGAGAAACATCGATCAGCTGCCTCCTGCACATCCCCCACTGGGGAAGTGCCCGCAACCCAGGTACATGCCCTTGACCGGAATTGAACCTGGGACCCTTTAGTCCGCAGGCCGACGCTCCATCCACTGAGCCAAACTGGTTTCGGCGATTCTCCAACCTCTTGACACAGACCCCTTTCTAATCTTGGGAAATGCAAAGCAGAATTCTATGATTATGTCCAGAGAGTTCCCTCCAAAACAAAGCATACACATCTAACACTCTTTTTATAATTAGCTGTACAACATTGCATGAAAGAATATATTTTCTCCTAATAATGTAGATTCAGATTGTTTCCTTTTATTTCCTCTACAAAATATGCTGGTATTCATATTTTCATGGCATAGATTGCCAAATGTAAGACAGATAAGTCAAAGATAATGTGAATTTTAATATAAATCATCAAATTACAAATTGTGTTACGGAAATGTAGCTAGCCACACCTAGTTACACTAGATATGGATAAAATTGTGGTTTATATCCAAACTAGAGGCTTAATGCATGAAATTCTTGTGTGGGTATGATCCCTAGGCCTGGCCTGCGATCAGGACCATCTTCCCCAGCTACTCGTAGTCAGCCCCACCCCTGCCACCATCCACCCCCGGTTCCCCATTCGCCATTGGATGGTTGGTGCTTGATTGCCAGGGGAAGGGACTAAGATGTCAGCTGTTCCTGCCCACTCGCTGGCCCTGGCCCTGGCCCCACAGTGGTTGTCCATCAGGTGCTCGGAGCCTGCCAGCCGGGGAAAGGGACCAAGAGATGGTCAGTGCGCTTCATAGTGACTGATCGAGTGGTCATTCTGGTCGTTCTGATGTTAGGGTCAATTTGCATATTAGTCTTCTATTATATAGGATGGTAATCTTACTAAGCCTTGAATATAATCATTTTCATGTTTGCTAATCTAATAGATGGGGGGAGGGAGCGAAGAGCATTGCCTTATCATTTTGATTTCATTTACTCAAGCAATTGTGAAGTTGAGTTATATATATATATATATCATATATATATATATATACATATATATATGATATATATATATTATATATATATATATGTATATATATATATATATAGCATTTTAACATATAATATAATTATATATATACTAGAGGCCCAGTGCATGAAATTCATGCACCCTCTCACAGTCCGGGACACCTTGCTCCTTACTGCCCACCTGCTTGCTGCTTCTCAGTGCTGCTGCGGAGGCGGGAAAGGCTCCCACCACCGCTGTTGCACTCGCCAGCTGTGAGCCTGGATTCTGGCTGAGCAGCGCTCCCCCTGTGGGAGCACATTAACCACCAGGGGGGCAGCTTCTGAGTTGAGCGTCTGCCCCCTGGTGGTCAGTGTGCATCATAGCGACTGGTCATTCTGGTTGTTCGGTTGTTCTGCCATAACAGTCACTTAGGCTTTTTATATATATATATATATATTTTTTTTTTTTAATTCAGAACCATTGCATTTCCAATTGTATCAACTAGCCATTCATTTCTTGGGTTATTTCTCAGCTATATTTCATTTTACTATTGTGTTTCATATATATACTAGAGGCCCGGTGCACAAAAATCATGCACTCTGGGGTGGGGGGGGGTCTCAACCTGGCCTTTGC